CCTGATCTCTGGATCTGACCATGAAAACTAATAAGAAAACAATCCTGAGCTGTGGGAATGCAGGGGAATATTAACTGACAATGCATCTAATAATAAAAAGGCATTTGAGCAGGACTTTGCATGGATCCCTTGCTTTGGCAGTCAGCAAAGGCTCAGAGGTGGAGCGTGTCTGAGGCATAGAAAGCGTAAAAGACTTAGAAAGACAGCGTCAGCCTTCAGCACGTCCCCAAAATGATGAGACGACTGCATAAAAACACAAAGAGTTGCAGTTAGTTGAACATAGGCTCATTCATGATGAGCCCACACGCTGGGGCTCATCTTTGGAAATGGTAGAGCCACAAGCTGTTGGTGCTGTTCTTGCAGAAGATCGAAGAAGTGGCATCTCATGCCTAAAGGTACGGACATTACAGTTTTAGAGAGTGTAAAAGAAGTGCTCGGCCCATTCAGCTCCTTCACTGATGCTCTCAGTGGTGAAAAGCACACCACTGTCTCCTGTGCTCCCTCTGAGATGGAGGATTTTCTCAGCATGAACTGTTGAAGGCAGTGACACCACCCTGAAAGGCAGATGAAGGAAATAATAGCCAAAGATTTAAAAGACAGATACCAGGATAGGGACCTACAGTTGCTATTAAACACAGCTACTTTTCTTGACCCACGTTTTAAGCGTAGCTTCACCAAACTGAAAGATGAGGTAAAGCAGCATCTTCTTGATGGCCTGAGGAGCATCCCAAGTCTTCAGCTTTTGTCTTGTCCAAGCCAGCAAAGAAACCACGAACTGACTTAAAGGGACTGCTGTTGGACATTCAAGGAGAGAAGAAACAGCCAGATGCACCTCAAGAAGCTGAAGCGACACCCACAGAGCGTGATGATCCAGAGTACAAGCTGAACAATGAGCTGGCTTTGTACTTAACCCTAACCCACAACAACATCGGCTAACGTGGTGGAAAGCCAATCAGAATAGCTGGCCTCACTCGGCCTTTTTTGCCAAAAAGTACCTTTGCATAGCTGCCTCCAGCTGTGCCTCCAGCTGTGCCTCCAGCTGTGCCTCCAGCTGTGCCTCAGAGCGTGTCTTTAGTGCATCAGGGCTAATATCCACCCCAAGGAGGGCAAGACTGCCAGAGGAGCACATCGACATGCTGCTGTTTACTGCAAAGAATCTGCAAATTGCAAAGCAAACTCAGGCCCGAGAGACGTCCTCAATGAGAGGACAAGAGAAAATGTGGTTTAGAAGATCTGCATGTTTCACGGTGCTGCACTTTGTAGTTAGTCGATTGAACTTGATTTGATATTTGCTTGTTGAATGCACAGTTCTACAGGCTGACGAGCTTATTAATAGTCATTTATTCTGTTCTGAGTCTTTGTTCTGGTTCTGAACGTTCTTGGTTTACACATCACTTTTTGCACTTTTCATTGGGTCCTAAAGTCTGTTTATTTGCAACTTTGGCTGAACTTTGGAGTTGTGTTCTTGAATATGACGTTTTCATACTGAGTGGTACTGCTGAAAGCTTTTCTATATTTTAAGAAACATTTATTTAACGTTTGACATTGTGTGACATGTTTAACTGCGTCTGGTGTGGACGGTTAAAAAATTAAATTGTTATTTTTTATACCTCAACAAAGTCCAACAGACAGGAGGTGTTTCACTGTAGGATCGAAATCGAGTTTAAAATGTTAGCATCGTGACAACCCCGATGTTCATACAGGATCAGTGTGAGGAAGGAGACGTGAGATGTAAAAGTCCGTTTGGGTCCACAGCGCTACAGAAGAACCCAGCAGACAGCTCCACGGGCTCACACGGGCCCTCCTGATGCCTGCAGCTCTCTGCCTCACAGCTGAAGGAACTCAACCTTGTTCGGCGGGTCCAACTGACCGTGCTGACGTCCAGCGGCAGGATGAAGACGATGAGGAAGCACAGGTACCACGCCAGCAGCGTGCCGAACAGAACCATGCGCTGCTGCTTCTTGAAGTCTCCATATCGGTGCAGCAGGAACAGTGCCAAGAAGAACACCACCACGATCTCGATACCAAGAGCCGCCCCGCTCATCCTGCTGCAACGCCTGCGACGCTACACCTGCAACACAAGCCAGCAGATGGACAGAATCAGACACAGCAGCTGCAGCAACCAGAACACCTCAGAGGTCCATCGGTTCTGGTCATCGGCTCTGATCATCAGTTCTGATCATCGGTTCTGGTCATTGGTTCTGATCATAGGTTCTGGTCATTGGTTCTGCTCATCGGTTCTGACGGAGAAACATCTGATTAACACTGAAGAGCCACCAATAGCTGAAAGGGTCTGACTGGAAATAAACCAGTCTGACTGGAGACAAACCAGTCTGACTGGAGACAAACCAGTCTGACTGTGTTGCAGTAATGAACATAACTATGAATCACTGACCTGAAACCATGAAAGGCTCTTTGTGTTGCTAGTCTGGGGGGTTGGGGCTCCAGTGGTCTGCATCACTGGGAGAACTGGGCTCTGACTGGTTTCAGGCAGCGTGAACAAACCAACTGTATCTGAAAGTGTCTGAATAAGTTCACTGCAAAGTAAAAGTTCAGCACAGACACACAAGCAGTAGCTATCAGGACTGAACCAGGCTGAAGTTCCTGTTCGTCTACCAAACCTTGATGATGAGTATTATTTATATGAGTGTCAAATACGGAGAATCACACCAATCATCACCTTCTGATTAAAAACACAACAACAGGACGCAGGTCAGCAGGGGGCGGCCATATTGTCAGCTGATCATGTGATCACATGATTCCAACTGTGTGACTCTGATCCTGATGTTTAACCCAAATATGGTCACATGACGTTTACAGAGAGATTCAAGGACGATTGGTCAGTCTTCAGTCATCAAATGTTAGAGAATTATTAGAGAACCATCAGATATTTAGGTGATCAGCAAAGGTCTGAGAGCCTCAGCAGCAGGCAGGTGTTNGACAAAGATCACATGAAGACCAGACTACAAAATAAAAGCTGCCAACAGAAACAGGAAGACGAGACAGAAACAAAAGTTTAACTTGACCCCAGAGTGAACCATGACACCATGTGGGTCCTGCTGCCCCTGTGTCGGTCCTGCTGCCCCCCGTAGGTCCTGCTGCCTCCGTGTCGGTCCCGCTGCCCCCGTGTCGGTCCCGCTGCCTCCCTGTAGGTCCCGCTGCCCCCGTGGGTCCCGCTGCCCCCCGTAGGTCCTGCTGCCCCCATGTTGGTCCCACTGGGCGGCAGGAGGCGTGGCTGACAGACGGCCAGGTGGGTCACACCTCCAGGAAACCAGCAGCTGATGAAGACGTCAGCACAGACGTCAGTGATGTTTCTGAGGAAGACTGAAGTGAGCATGTCAGCGGTACAAACAGCTCCGACCTAAAACACTCACTGTCTGGTCAAACAGAGACCTTGGAGTCTTTGTGTCTTGGACCCTGATTAGAAGACCCTGATGGTAAAACTACCAGAATGAACAAAACTTTCAGAGGCACACACACGAGTGGACGAGGTCTTCTGGTACACACTGCATGTCAGGACACGTCAGTGTCATTTTCATCAGTTATCTTTGAATGAGTCTAAGAGGATCCGCCTGAAGAAGAGAACAACCTTCCAGACTGTGTGGAGCTCCTGTAGACTGACCAGAGAAGACTCAGAGGGTTCGGGCTCTCTGAGGGACTCAGTTCAAGGTCTGAAGACTTTCCTCCTCGTCTGCAATCGTTTAGCTGCACCAGCTGCAGAATGAGCACCTCCAAGTGTTCATCGTGAAAAGTCACTCCAGTATTCACATCACGGTGGATAAGACAGTAGATTCTTTTCTCTTGTTCCGAATTTTGTTCCACTTTACTTAAATGTGAATGTAAACAGCTGATATGACGCTTTTATTGTCTGCTCTTAACTCAGTTTGCCCAAACTTGTGGTTCTGGTGGTGCTGGGATAGAATATTATTTGTAACTTCTAGAGGAAAACCAACTGTTCATGCTGATGCTGGCAAAGCACCCTGGCCCAGGTTGAAGAGCGTCTCTGACCCAGTTCTGTGGGCCAGAGATGACACTTGTGTCTTACTGGTTTCAGTCTGCCGTTCCCCCACCCACACTGTCACTCACATGCCTGACTTCTCATTTCACAAGTTCTCCTCACACATCCTCAGCTTCACTTCCTTCATTCTGTCTTTCTTCATCCACTTGTTTTCATGATCTGACTCCATGATCTGCTCAGCGGGTAAGTTCTCATCTAGACTACAATATGCTGTGTGTTCTGTTCATCTGAACTCCTTCCATGCTGATGTTCCACGTGTGCTTCTTATGAGCCCCGTTAGTGAAACATCCTGTCTGGTGAACTATCTGACCTCGCTCACGTTGAAATGAGTCGCAGCTTTCCTCTGTGCGACTGACAAAATCATCTTTTTTATTGTCAAAGAAATACATCAGATTTACTAAATGATGAAAATAAGTTGGACGGCTCTGCTCTCAGGAAGGTACTGAGAACCTGAATGCAGCTGTTTGTCCTTTGTTTTAGTTTCCTTTGACAAATAACCTGTTTTACTGTACAGGGTAAATATAGATATGTCTATATATATATATAGACACACATATATATATATGTGTCTATGTGCCACATTTGTGGCTGCAGATTCTTATACAGGTTCCTCCTCAACGTGATAAAGATGTTTGCTTGTAACTATTATATATACAGTATATGTGTGTGTGTGTGTGTGTCTGTGTGTCTGTGTGTGTGTGTGTCCATGTGTGTGTGTGTGTCCATGTGTGTGTGTGACTCCCAGCAGCTCTGACAGCATCAGTGGCCGTCAGCAGCAATCAGACCATCAGACAGTTTTATCTCAATCCTTTCAGTGGACTGGTTCTGATCCAACACACTGAGTGTTTCAGTCATTTATTAGAAATGCTCTGATGCATTAAACGCATCATTACAGCCCTAAAATACTCCATCGTGTGTATTAGCACTGTTTGTTTTACAATAAACATCCTAGAAACCATTTTTATATGTTACAGACGTATTTTGTACCGTTTTAGACACGATGGCCTAAAACTTGAACATATATATTTGACAACTTTGCAAACCTCTGGATCCACTGGAACTGATTTTGAATTTCTTGTAATTAAACAGGTTTAGAAACATCTTCAGAATGAACCTCTGCTGATTTTAGGCTTGTCAGTGCCTGTAAAACGGTGTTAGGGTTAGGCAGTGAGACATGTCAGCCTGTGGGAGGCTTTGACTGTGGTTTACTCAGTCAGAACAGAGATGATCGATTCAGGCAGCACAGCGCTGCAGTGATACCACACGGAGAACCGCCTGCTCACTGCTGAATGCAGTTGCGGTGCACGTCGCTGCAAAGCACGCTGTCCTATTATTTCCTGTGTGAGGCCCAGATGCAAACAGACAGAAGCCACCACATCCTGACCTTGTGAGTGGGAGCAAGTTTTCTATGTGTAAAAATGTCACGCATCCAGGCAAAGCACACAGAAAAACGTTTTTTAAAAAGTACATTAAGGTGGTTGACTTGTTCTACATATAATATAATACATAAGAAAACATTTGAGTCTGCAGATACAGACACAGCATCACAGGGAAATGAACTTTTTTAGACAATCTTTTGAACAATGAATATTTCTTCAGAATCTACAGTCGTCCTCAGATGTGCTCCTGCCCTCCCATTGAAGGAGGAAAACAGCTTCAGTCACTGAAATAAGTTGGAATGAACAAAAGTAATAATAAATAAAATGTAATGAACATCATGACGTTGCTTTGAATTGTGCTTCAACAGAAATATTAAATCNGTGTCATAAATAAACTGCAGCTTTCACGGTGACAAACCAGAACAGACAACGACGGTCTGAAGCTCTGCACACTGACAGGAAGCTGACATCACATCCTATCAAAGCCCAGTTGGACCCGTGACTGGTTCTGCTGGAACCTGCTCATGTTCTCAGCTAACGGGCCACCATGGTCCAGCTGCTCACGTCGGTTCTGATGATGACCTGAACTCTGCACAGAGAGGAGACCACAGGTTCTCTGGAGCTCTGCTGGTTCCGCCCTTCTGCTCCACATTAGAATAATTACCACATTTCACAATCCTGAGAAGAATTTCAGCAGCATCTCTCCCTCTCATGTGCCTCCTGGTCCAGTGTCTTAGAACAGATTGTGTCTCTATCTGTTGTTCCACATTTTATCTCGTTTTTTCCTGTTTCTGATATTTGAGGATCAATAAAGGTTCTCGGAACCAGCAGTGAATAAACGTGTTCCCTAATCAGCCCTGCAGACTCACCTGTCTGACAGGTAACACCAGCTGCAGCTAAGCTACGTTAGCATCACAGCTAGCTAGCCCTGCTAGCGTCCAGCGGACCGACGTGTCTCTTACCGGTCTTCTCTGGGACTCTGTCCGCCTTCAGGGCTCTGCCGGACGGTCACGGCTGCTCCGCTGCGGTCGCTGTCTGCCGGTTCACCGTCAGTATCTGCCGCTCCGAGGTCCGTTACCGGAGCAGCGTCGGTCACATCCCGATTCTACCGGAGGGATCACGGGAGCGGACGGTGACGTCATTGACAGGCGAGCCGCGGCTCTGCGCCTGCGCGGCAGTTTGTCTGTTTGTTCCTCGTCATCCCCGCCCCCCGCAGGACAGCAGCGGAACTGCAGGTAGGACCACACCTGGAGGCCGGAGGCAGGTGTGTTAGGGTGGAGCGGACGGAGCAGAACATCATGATGGAGCACAGTCCTGGTTCACTGCTGACCTGCTGAACCAGAACCTAACTGGACTCAGCAGTAAACCAGCGCTGAGCTGTCTGCTGATGAGCTTCACAGAGTCGGAGCGACATGATGGTGCTGCCTGTGGACGGAGCTCTGATCAGACGACAGCAGCGGGTCACTGATCTCTGCAGAGGTCATGTTTCACAGCCACAGTGCTCAGAAAGCTCATATAAGACAAGATAATTCATATAATGAATACATTATAATTAATATGATATTTATATATGAGCTCAGAGCAGCAAACACAGAGAGGATGCTACGATGTTCAGGTGTAACTGTGGATGAAACACAGAGAATAAAGGTTGATAGATAGATAGATAGATAGATAGATAGAT